TTGTGTACTATGCTTAGGTCAGACNAGTTCCAGGTTTCCAAGCCCAAAATGTCGAGCCTGATGGCATAAGGGATTCTATTGTGAGCAGAGGAGTGGAGTACTCTTCTTGTGAAATACCTCTGGATCCGTTCAATTGTATTCAAGTCCGATATACAGTGTGAATTCTAGGCAGACAAGCTGTATTCAAGAATAGGTCTGGCAAAGGTTTTGTTTGCCTAAGTTTGCAGTACAATGTTATGGGAGAAGAAGCTTCACAAGATTAGGTTAACAACTCTTAGTGCCTTTTTGGCAATGCTGTTACAGTGAGCTCTGGGGCTTCGATCATTTGAGATGAGTACTCCCAGGTCCTTGACAGAGTGCAGGTCGTCTACGAGGTTGTATCCACCCAGCTTGTGTTTGATGTTGTGATTTTTGTTGCCAATGTGTAGGACAGAGCATTTGTTAGTTGAGATTTGGAATTACTAATTGCATGACCATTCTGACACATTGCTTTGTAGGGTAGCAGCATTGTCGGTGGTGTTGAATAGTTTTACATCATCAGCGAAGAGGACGCAGCTGGTTGTTATATGATCACAAAGGTCATTTATGTAAAACACTGCCTTGGGGGACACCATTGTTAACTGGTGCCAGGTTTGATAGGACGCTCCTTATTTTGACATGGCTATCCACTTGTACAGTGATCCGGAAATGCCGTAAGAGCTTAGTTTTAACAGTAGTTTGTCGTGTTCCACCGAATCAAAGGCTTTGCAGAAGTCTATGTAAATTGCATCTATTGATTTATCGAGTTGTGCGGTCCAAATGTTTCTGCAGTGTAGGAGTTGCAGATTACAGGACAATTTTTTCCTGAAACCAAACTACTTATTAGAAAGTAGGTTATTTGTCTCTAAGTGGAGGGTGATGGATTGGTTTATAATTGCTTCGATGATTTTACAGGTGACTCAACACAGTGAGATTGGTCTGCAATTTTCTACTAGGTTAGGGTCCCCCTTTTTGAAGATAGGTATGACCGTGGCTAATGACTATAGGTCAGGCAAGGAACTGGTTCTGAAAGATACTTCATAGATTGTGCTTAGAGGTTTATGACAGTGGAAATCTTTTTCAAGAAGTAGGCCAATAGATAGAGATGGTTTTAAATTGCCTAGTGCCTTTTTGATGTTATCTACTGTAAAGTCAATATGTAGCAGATTGTTGCAATTAGATGTAGTATGACTAGGAAATGTGGGGCTGAAGCCATTGCTGTTGAGAAAGACTGAACTGAAGAACGTGTTGAAGGGGTTGGCCTTAACGGCTTTATCTTTACAGTCTTCTCCATTAAGTCCTTCTAGGGGTGGGATAATTTTAGAGTCTTTAAGCTTGGCATTTATGAAATTATAGAAGGCTCGGATGGATTTTGAGTGTAACAGCTCTTCCTCTTGTTTGCAGTGGTAATTGGTGCATTCTTTGTCTGGCGGCATAAGATGTTTAAAGTTAGTTACATAGCCATTTTTGTTATTTCGCCAAAGAGATTTTTGGGGCAGATTGAAGCTTTCTTATTATGGGTAATTTGGGGTTTGGGGTTTTTTTTTTTTTTGGCTTTAGGGGTTATTAATGGTATGTGTAGTTTAATGACTCTTTTGACTTCAAGCAAAAAAGTGTTATAATGGTCTTCTGTAGTATTATAGTCAGTGAACAGAAGGTGCCAATCAAGAGATGTGAGATTGGCAGCTATGAGATCACAGTTGGCTTTTTCAAAGTTAGAATTTGGTGTCCCATCATTATTACCCATAATAAGAAAG